TAATCACGTCGTTAATCACACACCCATCACTTGTGATCACACCCACCACGTGTAATTACGTTATTAATCACACTCACCATCGCACTCAACATGCGTAATCCGATTAATGGGATAAGGTAACGAAACACGCGAGCAGGGGAGGTCTTTCTACGGGAAACTGCTCCCTATTTAGGTAAAGAAAACCCGTAAAGCTCCACGTGACCAGCCGTTGACAAGGCTCGAACCCGCGACCAGCGATTTTATCCACTCGTTCAAGGGAGAGGAATAGGAAACACGAGCAAACATTTGAATAAAATCTTTATATTTTTTTCGATTTAACTCGTTAAAGTTGTAAGATAATCAGAAGAAAAAAAAAATACAAATTTAATCATTTTTTTTACCTGGCTAAAGTTTATTTTTTTTCAGAAAATAAATATGCTTTTAAACGTGATTGTCGAATTTCGAGCGCCTGAAAATCGATGGAAATTAAATAAAATACAATCAAAAACTTATATGTATAAAATCTTACGAAAGTAGAAAAATAAATCAATTATCCACTAAAAGTTATCTTTGATGTTTACTAATGCAAGAAACAATTCAATCGATCCACCGACGAAATCCAATTGCGATCGCTTTTTATTGGATCATTTTAAAATTCGAAATTTGTAAAAGCAGCCAATTAGCAATTTCCTATTTGTTTTTTTCTTGGTTAATGAATAATTATAATTTATGGTTACGTTAATTAAAATCTAATTTGATATTTTAATTAAATTAAAATTAATTAGAAATTTTATGATATATATATATATATATATTTTTTTTCTACCCGTCGAATTTTTATAATTATAGAATTTAGAAGGATAAAAAAATTTCTTATAATAAATTAATTACGAATAGTAAATTTATTATAAGAAATTTTACATACAGTAAAATCCCCAAATTTTTACATTTTTGGACACGTGGGACATTCAAACACCGAGAAATTCAAATAAATTCGGGGGTTTTACTGTATGTATGGATTTTAATATGTGTATGGGGGAAAAGATTTTATTCACCCTCTTTGAAGCTTAATAACTCCTATACTTTTCGTCGAAAATTTCTGAAATTATGTAGGTAGGTTCGTGTATTAGGGAGGTCGATTCTGTTAAATTTTGGAGGTTAAAGGTCGAGAGGTTGGGAAGATAGAGGAGTTCACGTGTCGTATCTCCAATAGGGCCGGACTTAATGACGATTTTTCTTGTTATTAGCATTTATAATTTTTTTTTTATAAAACTCGTCTCTATCCTCGAAATTAAGAGCTTTTTGCCATTTTGTAATAATTAACGAAATATCATAACAGATGGCGCCACACGCAATATTAACTCTTGCCGAGAAAGTTGTACAACTCGTTGTTGGAATATTTTTTATTTGTATAATTGTCATTATTAAACGGTAAAGTGACGCATCAAATCATCTCCTATCTCAGAAATTTATCGTATTAATAATTGAGATAGCTGTGAGATAAGTATTGTGCTATTGGGAGGATGCTGAAGCAGCATCCTCCCAATAGCACAATACCCAAAGATTACAGCTGATACAGAGACTGTTACATTTCCGTGGAATCCATTTATTTAGGCCACGAATGGCCGAGTGAATAAGGCCACTAAACACTGGTAGTTAGTGGTGGATTCGAGCNTTCTCTACGAGTTTTCTCGATTACAAGTTCATAAAGAGTAAAGTTAAATTAAATTTAATATCATTTCCGTTACGAAACAGTTACTAAAGATAAATTAATGGATTTCTTCGTTATTTATTTACTGAAAAGAAAAAAAAACAGATATTTATTCATATATCTTTCTCCTTTTCAGTCTGTTCAATTTAAACCAATGTCACTTCTGATGTCATTTCGGAGTCGAGATACTTTTCTATATCTATAAAACAAGAAGAAGGAAAAAAAAAGGGGGGGAGAGAACATAGAAGAAAGAGTATCACGTGACAGTTAAGTGATCTTTTGACGTTGTGTAACATTATATTTAATAAATATCCATCTTTTACAAAATTACTTTTCAAAAACGTGACGTTTCAATCTAGTATAACGAAATGTTTTTTAGTTATAAAATAGCTCTTAGAAGAATAAATAAAGCTTAGAAAAAAATATAGGAAACTTGTAAGAAGATATTTTGAAATATTATTTATATTTTTATATATACTTTTTGCCTTAAAAAAAAAAATAAATAAAAAATAACAAATGCTAGAGATAAGCGATGGCCCCTGTAAAACTATCTTCACTGCATGGCAACCGAGTAATGCAGGAAAGACGACGACGGATGGAATTTCTGTTTATCTGTCAGCGGAGAAATTTAACAACAATTTTTAAATATACAGATTATCGTTATCTTCAACAGATTACGTACATTCGACAGATTATAATTTATTCCGAGCGTAAAAAAAAAAACAGCGAGAGATTTCTTGTGTTGTGTACCGTTAACTCCTACCGCATCCTGTCGTAGTTGGATTGTCACAGCGGATATGACGGCGCGACAACGTCACTAAAAGACATCCTTCTATCATTTTCCGGTGATTACATAGCTTAATATTAATACAGATAAGAGCTGTAACGTAACGGAAATGTTTTACGTGATCAGACATTACCCTGGCAAACAAAGTTACATTTTCATTAATAAACTATAAACTACCCTTTCAATACACAGAGACAACATAAAGTATTAAATATAAGCTGTAAATATTGGCATTTTATTCTTTAAAATTCGTTAAAAACAAGGAAAAATTCGTATATTTTTTAAATTTCATTTAACTACTTTAAACTTCGAGCATCCATTATTTAATCAGAGAAGATGTGGAAAAAAAATATATGATTTATAATTATAAANTTTCTACGGGAAACTGCTCCCTATTTAGGTAAAGAAAACCCGTAAAGCTCCACGTGACCAGCCGTTGACAAGGCTCGAACCCGCGACCAGCGATTTTATCCACTCGTTCAAGGGAGAGGAATAGGAAACACGAGCAAACATTTGAATAAAATCTTTATATTTTTTTCGATTTAACTCGTTAAAGTTGTAAGATAATCAGAAGAAAAAAAAAATACAAATTTAATCATTTTTTTTACCTGGCTAAAGTTTATTTTTTTTCAGAAAATAAATATGCTTTTAAACGTGATTGTCGAATTTCGAGCGCCTGAAAATCGATGGAAATTAAATAAAATACAATCAAAAACTTATATGTATAAAATCTTACGAAAGTAGAAAAATAAATCAATTATCCACTAAAAGTTATCTTTGATGTTTACTAATGCAAGAAACAATTCAATCGATCCACCGACGAAATCCAATTGCGATCGCTTTTTATTGGATCATTTTAAAATTCGAAATTTGTAAAAGCAGCCAATTAGCAATTTCCTATTTGTTTTTTTCTTGGTTAATGAATAATTATAATTTATGGTTACGTTAATTAAAATCTAATTTGATATTTTAATTAAATTAAAATTAATTAGAAATTTTATGATATATATATATATATATATTTTTTTTCTACCCGTCGAATTTTTATAATTATAGAATTTAGAAGGATAAAAAAATTTCTTATAATAAATTAATTACGAATAGTAAATTTATTATAAGAAATTTTACATACAGTAAAATCCCCAAATTTTTACATTTTTGGACACGTGGGACATTCAAACACCGAGAAATTCAAATAAATTCGGGGGTTTTACTGTATGTATGGATTTTAATATGTGTATGGGGGAAAAGATTTTATTCACCCTCTTTGAAGCTTAATAACTCCTATACTTTTCGTCGAAAATTTCTGAAATTATGTAGGTAGGTTCGTGTATTAGGGAGGTCGATTCTGTTAAATTTTGGAGGTTAAAGGTCGAGAGGTTGGGAAGATAGAGGAGTTCACGTGTCGTATCTCCAATAGGGCCGGACTTAATGACGATTTTTCTTGTTATTAGCATTTATAATTTTTTTTTTTTTATAAAACTCGTCTCTATCCTCGAAATTAAGAGCTTTTTGCCATTTTGTAATAATTAACGAAATATCATAACAGATGGCGCCACACGCAATATTAACTCTTGCCGAGAAAGTTGTACAACTCGTTGTTGGAATATTTTTTATTTGTATAATTGTCATTATTAAACGGTAAAGTGACGCATCAAATCATCTCCTATCTCAGAAATTTATCGTATTAATAATTGAGATAGCTGTGAGATAAGTATTGTGCTATTGGGAGGATGCTGAAGCAGCATCCTCCCAATAGCACAATACCCAAAGATTACAGCTGATACAGAGACTGTTACATTTCCGTGGAATCCATTTATTTAGGCCACGAATGGCCGAGTGAATAAGGCCACTAAACACTGGTAGTTAGTGGCGGATTCGAGCCTGACCAACGTGAAGTTTTCTGACTTCTTCACCTGTCTAACACCCAGTTACCCGTAGGAAATCCTCACGGGAGGCCTTTCTAGGGGAAAATGGCATCTATTTAGATGTTATATACGTGAATAAAACACAGAAAACTTTACGTGATCCGGAGGTACGAACCCTTCACCAATTATCAACATTCCGTTCTTTAGAATATAAAATGGATAGATCCTAGTTGCAAATAATTATCTGTAATGGTTAACTGAATTTTAGGCCACCCCCTAGAATCCCTCAAACTGTATAATTTCCTTAATTTTAATTACGAATTTTCAAATTATATATTAAAATAACGATCGATTGATTGGTTACTTAACGCAAAGATGGTTCCACATTGCAAACTACACGATTGGGCTCGTTGCCAGTGGGCCTGACCCGTAATGGGTTTTGTTTGATGGAACAGATAGAAAGGCCACCCGTAAGGCATTTCTATGCAAAACTTTCCCCTATTCAGGTGTTAGACACGCGAAGAAAACCCGGAAAACTCCTCTTTAGTAGAGGGCGCGAAGCCACGCGGTAGTGTTGATCCACTCGAACAAAATCCATAATGAAGTGGAACATGGTTAGAAATGGTTTGAATTAGTTTATTTTGTTACTGCCAAATGGGATGCCTTCCGGAAGGAAGCTGGTTCCTTTTTTTTTTGGAGTTACAAACTAGAAAAAATTCAGAAAACTCCACGTGGACAGTCCACGTGTTTATTTGGCTACTGGTGAGCAATGGAGAACGATGCTAAGTCCCTTACTGCTAATGAGAGTCCAAACAGAATTCGGATGCCTCATAACAATAGATTAGCACCTTAATATAATATTAAATAATTACTTTAGAAGAACGTAAAGAAGTAAAAAAAAAAAACGTTATAAATTAGTAAAAAAAATTTTAATTTAGGCGAATAAACTTACCTTTAAAGACGAAAAGAAAAAAGTGGGCGAAGAGCCTTATAATGTTTAAACTTCTTACATATTTTAAGCACAATTTAATGGGCCAGACAAATTGCACAGAAGTATTTATCTTTGAATGATAAAAAGAGAAATCTTGAGAGATAAATACATCAAGACTAAGTTTATATTCGATTGCCATGTTTACCCGACAAACAGGAGGGAAGGAAATTGTCAGCATGGAGATGAAAAAAGAAGAAAATAATGTAAGATTCGATCGAGCTTTCTTTTTCTCTCCTCCCCTAATGCCCCTAACTGTACATTTCTCATGGGATTACTCTTGTATGAAACCACCGATATTAACGTAGCAACTGATTATTTCTATGATCTGATGACAATATTTATCTGAAAAGAATCATTTGTAGCAGATTAACGAAAGTACATGAAGAAAACCACGATATAATGTAACAATCTTCCGTAAATAAAAGTTATTTTACAGAGAGATTTATCGATGCGTTTAAGGAATGGTCACATAAATTAATTACAGTGAAGGAAAGGTTAATAAAATAATTTAAATAAAAGTAAAAAAAAAACTATGCAAAAAGTTGTTTGGCATGATGGCCGAGCGGTTACGATGGCATCCTTCCTGTCTGGGTGTCCGGGATCACATCCTAACAATGTCGAAAATCCCTAGTAATTTTTTAAGAGGTGATTCATCTGGATATGTTGGACCTGGCCGAATTCGTAAGGAGCTTGTTAAAAAGGCCTCTTAGGCCCCACAGGAAAAATAGTTACGTAGAAATCTTTTTTTTTTTTTTTTGGTGAATTTTTGAAGCACTTGTTACAGTGTCTTGAAGATTATTCGTAAGGATTCTTCTTAAAAAATTCCCTTTTCGTGTTCAAATTTATAATAATTTGCATCTTTTTAAAAAAAAATTATATGCGATTTTATGTTTTATGATAGTGTTTATTACGTTTCGATTGATGTCTTCTTTGTCCATTAGTAACCGAGTATATAACACCACTGGTCGTGAGTTCGCACCTCTTCTGGCCACGTGGAGTTTTCCAGTCTTTCTTCACACTTAAATACGTATAGAAATTCCTTTAGGGAAGCGCCCTAGGCCATTTGGACCGGGCCCTAGTACAAAAAGCACTGAAACTTCTATATCTTGGTGTCTCTTTTGCAACGAATGGTATCTCCTTTAAGGTACCCCTCTGTATTTTACGTAATAAAATGTGATGTAATCGATTTTATTCGCATACTTTTACGACTTTCGAAGAAGGGAGAGCCCCACATTTGTGGATGACTCCGCCTCTCTGAATTTTATATGTAAATGGTTAATGGAAGACGGGAACTGCAACATTTGGGCCATCTGCCAAGGGGATGCCTCTCAGGGGAGTCTTCTACGGGAAGTGATCCCTAGTTAGGTGTTAGGATACCTTTCTATAGGAAACTGGTCCCTATTTAAGTTACGCACGCGAAGATAAACAGGAAAACTCCACTGATAAGGCGCGAACCCACGACTAGCTACCAGGGTTCAGTAGTTTTTTTTCTCTACTCGGTCACCGGTGCACAAAAAAGGTAGTGTGTATATAAATATAGGAGTATTATGTCTAGAAAGCTTTCAATCGATATCCATTATGACGTTTCCATCAGATTATAATCGACAGTCTCATACTTCATAATCCATATAATCTTATTGACATTTTTCTTTATCGATCCTACAGAATGCAATCCATTTGATAAATTCAAATATTTAATATGTATTAAAATTTTTATAAAGGGTACATACGTATACTGTATATCTTTATGCCCGGAAACGGGAGGGGCCCCGAATTACAAAAGCAAAAATAACTTTCTTTTGAATAAATCGTGAAAAATCTACTTTAGTTCTCTCGTTTTATTTCTTTTGGATGGGCAAGGCCCTACATTTTTGATTGAACAAGGCCCCCTTGCATTCTTTCTCGTTTCCTGTATTATTACATCGGAAGGATTTGATTGACGGGATAGGGAAACACAACGTGTGGTCGATCGACAAAAGAGGAGGGCCTCGTGACATGATTTTTATAGGAAATTAGCTCCTATTAGGGTGTTAGGCACGTGAATAAAACAGGGAAAACTCTACGCATTGGTCAGATGCGAAACCGCGACCATCGTTCCAATGTTTAATGGTGCTTTTCATCCAACGACCGAGGGGCCTCTCATGATCAAACTCGCATGTAATCTCTGTAAGATCGTTCCGTATCTTTTAAAATATATAATATATATATGTAGAGTGGCCCAAAATTCGGTTAACCAAGTTTTTTTAAGATTATTTTAAGAACTTTCAGCTGTTACAAATCCTCTTGACATATATATATAGAGCCTATATTTCGGTTAACTTACTTTTGGCCCGTTCTGTATATGTATAACCTGTTTAATAAAGTAAGCGTGACTTTAACAATGATTTCAAATGCGGGACCACAGTAATGTTTGATGTTGCTTTGTTTTATCATATTTCTCCTCCAATCCTTTAACAATTCACTATATCGAGTCCAGATTCAATAATTAATTAATGTAATTACATTAATGACATTTAATTTATAAGTAATTGTGTAAATTAGAGCGAAATCTTATATTTATTTAAATTTCTTTACTTAATTATCATTAGAATCTCAAGAAAGAAGACGATTGGCGTACGTTTTTAAAAAGAACCAATCAACTGTCTTCTTTTTTTTTTTAAATCTGCAACCGTGATATCTTACAAGTATCTCGAAGGACCGCCGATGTTTTAATTCGGATTTTCTCTATCTTTTCTAAAAATAATCGGTAAAAATCAAGCAAAAAATACGAATAATACATAAATTTTCAGCCCAATTTAATTATTAAACGAAATAAAGTTACTTTAAAATCGTAAAATATTTAAAAATCATTACAAACAGAAACAATAGATCTTTAATATATTATTAAATAATCTAAATAAACATAAATAAAACATCAGAATTTTCTGATAAAGATGATTTTATCACTAGATACTATATTATAAAATGTAGCATTTTAAAAAAATATTCATGGAGAATAATAAAATGTTACGTATAAAGTATTCATAATATAATTTATGTTGATAAACTGCTCGGAGGCGAATTTACAGAATTTATTTGTATAATGTATAAACTAAGAAACTATGTATCTGCCGAGACTTTAATATTACTGTATAAATCATGTATGGTATTAAGTTGAGAAGTGGCATTACGGGAGATTCTTGGCCTCCTTATAACGTAGCGGGCAATAAGCAAAATTAATTTTAAAGCATAACTTCATATTTATATGCAGTTTAATATACTTACTTGACAAGAAAATTTAGATTAAAGCTGTAAAATTATTATAACTTATATATAAAATATTTAATAAGAATGTTTTATAATTTATCTTTTACGCTGTAAATAAACATTAAAAAATCCAATTAAATTCTTGTTTAAATAAGTAGAATGTGTAATAATAAAAATAAAAATAATAATTTAAATTCAGCTGTTATATATAACAGAGGGAAAGAAACTTTTCGACACTTTATAATGATAATATATGAAGTTTTTTGATAAATTCTCATAATAGATGGCGCCACACACAATTTCAACTCTTGCCGGGAAAGTTAGGCAACTCGTTACTGGTTTATTTATTTATTTACATCTCATCTTTTTCTTCCGTAGTTTTTAAAAAGAAATTACTATAGAAGCATGTTCAATTTTTATAAATAATCTAAGAAAGATTATGAATTCAGATTTGTATATATATATAGGATGTTCCATAACTCTGGAACCATAAAAGTTATGCTGATATTTGTTTCTTTAAAAGGTAAAGCATGAAGCTGTGTATGGAAAAACGAATTTTATGATGGAAACTCGAAGTCAGCATGAAGTTGAAGAAGAATTTAACATGCTGCATCCATATCCCTGCGTGTTATTAGTGGAGAAGTCTGGATGCAGCGTGTTAAACTCTTCGGCAACTTCACGCTTGTTGCTGGATTTTCCCTGCATTCTTCATTTGTTTTCATCCCCAACAATTGTTACCATTACCTCTAAGTCTATAGATTGGTTCTGGAGATATTAAGTGAGTAGGGGTCATATCTCCCGAAGCAACGGTTCGATTTTCTTGAAAATTTCTGGAAATATTTCCCCCTAATTCGCAAACATCCCTGCAAAATTTCAGAAATTTTCGATAAGAGGCACAGGAGTTATTAAGCTTCAAATTGAATGAACAACTCCGTGCTCCATCCCATACATAACTTACACATTGCCTACGTTGAAAAAAACCTGTTCAAAACGGAAACCTTCCAAAGCGGAATAAATATTCTGTACCGTACGAGTCCGGTTTACACAGGTTTTACTGTAAATATATTTTGATAAAAGCTAAGATATATTATCTCACAAAATCTGAAAAATAATTAAGTTATTGAATATTATTTAGTCACATGTAAAATAAAGGAGCAACGAGTTACGCAACTTTCCCGGCGACATTTAAATTTTTGTGGCGCCATCTGTTNGAGTTCACGTGTCGTATCTCCAATAGGGCCGGACTTAATGACGATTTTTCTTGTTATTAGCATTTATAATTTTTTTTTTTTTATAAAACTCGTCTATCCTAAAAAGTAAGCTTTTACTTTTCAGGGTAGATGAGTCAGACCATTTGATAAATTCTCATAATAGATGGCGCCACACACAATTTCAACTCTTGCCGGGAAAGTTAGGCAACTCGTTACTGGTTTATTTATTTATTTACATCTCATCTTTTTCTTCCGTAGTTTTTAAAAAGAAATTACTATAGAAGCATGTTCAATTTTTATAAATAATCTAAGAAAGATTATGAATTCAGATTTGTATATATATATAGGATGTTCCATAACTCTGGAACCATAAAAGTTATGCTGATATTTGTTTCTTTAAAAGGTAAAGCATGAAGCTGTGTATGGAAAAACGAATTTTATGATGGAAACTCGAAGTCAGCATGAAGTTGAAGAAGAATTTAACATGCTGCATCCATATCCCTGCGTGTTATTAGTGGAGAAGTCTGGATGCAGCGTGTTAAACTCTTCGGCAACTTCACGCTTGTTGCTGGATTTTCCCTGCATTCTTCATTTGTTTTCATCCCCAACAATTGTTACCATTACCTCTAAGTCTATAGATTGGTTCTGGAGATATTAAGTGAGTAGGGGTCATATCTCCCGAAGCAACGGTTCGATTTTCTTGAAAATTTCTGGAAATATTTCCCCCTAATTCGCAAACATCCCTGCAAAATTTCAGAAATTTTCGATAAGAGGCACAGGAGTTATTAAGCTTCAAATTGAATGAACAACTCCGTGCTCCATCCCATACATAACTTACACATTGCCTACGTTGAAAAAAACCTGTTCAAAACGGAAACCTTCCAAAGCGGAATAAATATTCTGTACCGTACGAGTCCGGTTTACACAGGTTTTACTGTAAATATATTTTGATAAAAGCTAAGATATATTATCTCACAAAATCTGAAAAATAATTAAGTTATTGAATATTATTTAGTCACATGTAAAATAAAGGAGCAACGAGTTACGCAACTTTCCCGGCGACATTTAAATTTTTGTGGCGCCATCTGTTATCATATTTTATTAGAAAAAAATTTTATTTTTAACTATTAGAGATGAAAACTTCGGCCGAAACCACGCTATTATAAATGGCAAAAAGCTTGATTTTGAGTGTAAGTGCGAAGAGTAAAAAGCAAAAAAATATCGAGACGTTGAAGATATTTTTAAACTACAGTGAAACCTGTGTAAGCCGGACTTTACACGGTAGCGAATATTTTCCCATTTAGGCAGGTTTCCGTTTTACTAAGGTTTCGTTCTGTACAGGTTTTAGTGCATTTGACATTTTGAATGATGAAAAAACAATAATAATAATTTTGAATTTTATTTAGCGAAAACAATTTAATATTTTATCAAATACTTGATAAAAATGTATCTATTTTTAACATTTTCCATACGAAATGAATAAATTAAATATAATTAATCAATTTACAGACATTCTTAATATTTAATTTATAAAATTTCCTCATAATTTATATATTGAAACAATATTAAATATTAGAAAAATTATAATTTAAGTAAGTAATAAAATATTTAAGTAATGTTACTTCATAAATTGCTAGATAATTTGCTTATAAACACATTAAAAGGTATAAACTAATTAACAAATCAATAAATAATATATACAGTAAAACCTGCGTAAGCCGGACTCGCACGGTACCGAATATTTTTCCGTTTTGAACAGGTTTTTTTTTTAAACAGAAAAACCTCTGTTTTTCGAAGAATTCTTTCGATTTAGGCAGTTTTCCGCTTTATTTATTTTCCGTCTTAAACAGGTTTTACTGTATAAGTAGTAAATCGATTTAGTAACGTTAATTATTGTCTATTTTATGAAAGGTTATGAAGGTGAAAGCACGTAGAAGAGCTGAGACGATTGTTATTGTAAACAGAAAAATTATTCCAACTAAAAATAGTCTGGTATTTCAATAAAAAGATGTCATACTATTTGAAATCTAACAACACAGGAATAAACAAAGTATTTTTCTTATTTTTTTCAATTGAGAATACATCCAAAATTCCTTTCCATTGTATAGATCATATGGCATTCATGTGGTTATTATTATTATTATTTTTTATTTTTATATAGTAAACGCCGATATGAAAGTAAATATATACAGTAAAACCTGTCATAAACGGAAACCTATGCGGAAAAAGATTTAAAATTTCGTTATAGATGGAACACGACCCCACTGAAGACACAACACGTAACCTCCTCTATCTCCCCAACCCCACGACCTTTAACCTCCAAAATTTAATAGCATTAACCCCTCTAATATATAAACCTCCCTAAAAAATTTCAGGAATTTTAGACAAAAGATATAGGAGTTATTAAGCTTCAAACAGGGNAAGTATAAACTAATTAACAAATCAATAAATAATATATACAGTAAAACCTGCGTAAGCCGGACTCGCACGGTACCGAATATTTTTCCGTTTTGAACAGGTTTTTTTTTTAAACAGAAAAACCTCTGTTTTTCGAAGAATTCTTTCGATTTAGGCAGTTTTCCGCTTTATTTATTTTCCGTCTTAAACAGGTTTTACTGTATAAGTAGTAAATCGATTTAGTAACGTTAATTATTGTCTATTTTATGAAAGGTTATGAAGGTGAAAGCACGTAGAAGAGCTGAGACGATTGTTATTGTAAACAGAAAAATTATTCCAACTAAAAATAGTCTGGTATTTCAATAAAAAGATGTCATACTATTTGAAATCTAACAACACAGGAATAAACAAAGTATTTTTCTTATTTTTTTCAATTGAGAATACATCCAAAATTCCTTTCCATTGTATAGATCATATGACATTCATGTGGTTATTATTATTATTATTATTTTTATATAGTAAACGCCGATATGAAAGTAAATATATACAGTAAAACCTGTCTAAAACGGAAACCTATGCGGAAAAAGATTTAAAATTTTGTTATAGATGGAACACGACCCCACTGAAGACACAACACGTAACCTCCTCTATCTCCCCAACCTTTCGACCTTTAACCTCCAAAATTTAATAGCATTAACCCCTCTAATATATAAACCTCCCTAAAAAATTTCAGGAATTTTAGACAAAAGATACAGGAGTTATTAAGCTTCAAACAGGGTGAATAAAGTCGTGCCTCCACACCATACACATAAACAGAAACCCCGGAATTTGGAAATTAGTATTAGAATAATTTTTTTAAAACATATATAAAATTAATACATCATCTTTTATTATAAATAAAAACTTATTAATCATTACTTTAAAATATATAAATTAATAAATAAAGATTGTCAGAAACATTATCTAAAACTTTATCACATTTAAATATATTATTAATATATATTATATAATATTTATTATAATAGATTAAACAGGCTGATCAATATGCGTTAAAAATTAAAATTTGCTTTTAAAATAGGGGGGAAACATTTTTAAAAGTAATTATTTATTGGTGTTACATTAGTCAAACTACTGTAATAAATTTGTCAGAAATAAAACATTTTAAATACGGTTGCCAACCGCCCTCCATTTATTAGGATTTAAGAGGACGGTTGGCAACTCTACTTAAAATGTTTTTATGTCATAAAGTATTTATGTTATAAGGTAAAATTTAAAATCTACTCAAAAGAAGTACAATACAGTTCAATACTAGACTGTCCTCCTAAATTGAGGACAGTCCAGTATTGAACTGTATTGTACTTCTTTTGAGTAAACAAGCGAATAAAATTTAGGGACTCAATTATTGTGGCTTTGTGCAACAGTTTATAATAATCATTTAAAACCCTATTTAATATTTTATTTGTTAAATTATCTTTATAACAAAACAATGTTATAAATGTCCTCCATTTTCCACTGTTGTTTTTTGGTAGAAGAAAGTTGGCAACTCTAATTTCAACCATAAAAAAGCAATATTAAGTCATTAAAATTTTTAGAAATGTTAGAATATAAAGCAATAAACGAATAAAACTTTTTATAGGAATATTTTAAATGACTATTTATGTAAATGGATATAAATATTCACATTGGCAAAAGGATGGCAATAACATTTTACCGAGTTCCAAACTGATGTAAAGTCAATGTCCTCGTTCCTTCAGTTGTAGTTGAAAACTTTTCTTTTGGCGACGAGAACTTCAAGAAACAAATCTGTATTTGGCACATCGCCCCTTTGTAGAAGGCATTTTGTTTTTTTCCCCTTTCTTTCTTCCTTTATTCCCTTCTTTACTTTGGCAAGATATTTGAAAACTTTGGCTCAACTTCTTGCTATATACAGAAGCCAAAACAAAAATTTTATACTTGGCTATTAACGAGATATATATATAAATCGAATCTATTAATTTTTACCATTATCGATTATTTGGTTCGGTAGTTTAATTGATAAGGAAGCTGGCCTAGCGAGTAACACACTGAAAAATTCGGTTAATTCGATGATAGCAATAACAAGAAGACTTTCGAGATCGACATTGATTCGTAATAACTTGTTATAAATCGGGAATTCTCGAGGTTAAACACAAAGGGAACCACTTCGGGCGTGAATTCACGCTTACACGATTTCGTCTTCCCGAATTTCTTAACCTCGTAACCCCGAATTTCTGAAACGATTGCAATTACAAGAAAAATCACTAATAAGTTAGAAACTTGATGAAATAAAAAGAGGAAAATTAAATCTTCGTAGATCTTACCGAATAAATTTAATAACATAAAACGGAATTAATTAAATAACGGTTTAATTACCATAAACGAAGCGACGAATCAGATCGATGGAATTTAAAAATTTAAACTCGACTGACGTCACCGAATTTAAACGACAAATACGATTATTCATTCNTATAATAGATTAAACAGGCTGATCAATATGCGTTAAAAATTAAAATTTGCTTTTAAAATAGGGGGGAAACATTTTTAAAAGTAATTATTTATTGGTGTTACATTAGTCAAACTACTGTAATAAATTTGTCAGAAATAAAACATTTTAAATACGGTTGCCAACCGCCCTCCATTTATTAGGATTTAAGAGGACGGTTGGCAACTCTACTTAAAATGTTTTTATGTCATAAAGTATTTATGTTATAAGGTAAAATTTAAAATCTACTCAAAAGAAGTACAATACAGTTCAATACTAGACTGTCCTCCTAAATTGAGGACAGTCCAGTATTGAACTGTATTGTACTTCTTTTGAGTAAACAAGCGAATAAAATTTAGGGACTCAATTATTGTGGCTTTGTGCAACAGTTTATAATAATCATTTAAAACCCTATTTAATATTTTATTTGTTAAATTATCTTTATAACAAAACAATGTTATAAATGTCCTCCATTTTCCACTGTTGTTTTTTGGTAGAAGAAAGTTGGCAACTCTAATTTCAACCATAAAAAAGCAATATTAAGTCATTAAAATTTTTAGAAATGTTAGAATATAAAGCAATAAACGAATAAAACTTTTTATAGGAATATTTTAAATGACTATTTATGTAAATGGATATAAATATTCACATTGGCAAAAGGATGGCAATAACATTTTACCGAGTTCCAAACTGATGTAAAGTCAATGTCCTCGTTCCTTCAGTTGTAGTTGAAAACTTTTCTTTTGGCGACGAGAACTTCAAGAAACAAATCTGTATTTGGCACATCGCCCCTTTGTAGAAGGCATTTTGTTTTTTTCCCCTTTCTTTCTTCCTTTATTCCCTTCTTTACTTTGGCAAGATATTTGAAAACTTTGGCTCAACTTCTTGCTATATACAGAAGCCAAAACAAAAATTTTATACTTGGCTATTAACGAGATATATATATAAATCGAATCTATTAATTTTTACCATTATCGATTATTTGGTTCGGTAGTTTAATTGATAAGGAAGCTGGCCTAGCGAGTAACACACTGAAAAATTCGGTTAATTCGATGATAGCAATAACAAGAAGACTTTCGAGATCGACATTGATTCGTAATAACTTGTTATAAATCGGGAATTCTCGAGGTTAAACACAAAGGGAACCACTTCGGGCGTGAATTCACGCTTACACGATTTCGTCTTCCCGAATTTCTTAACCTCGTAACCCCGAATTTCTGAAACGATTGCAATTACAAGAAAAATCACTAATAAGTTAGAAACTTGATGAAATAAAAAGAGGAAAATTAAATCTTCGTAGATCTTACCGAATAAATTTAATAACATAAAACGGAATTAATTAAATAACGGTTTAATTACCATAAACGAAGCGACGAATCAGATCGATGGAATTTAAAAATTTAAACTCGACTGACGTCACCGAATTTAAACGACAAATACGATTATTCATTCGAACGTGCGACGCCACATCGTGTTAAAGATTCTTACGATATTTTACGTAGGAAATAAATAATACAAAAAAAAAACTTTTCAAACAGGTTTTAAACCTGGAGGTTATTATTAAAATATTATTGTCATAATTTCATCAATTGTACTTGTACCCTAAAGAGTCATCGTCGACTTGGGCAAGAAGTAATTAATTCGAAACTGAGCCTTGAGCAATGGAGACAAAGGAGATTTTCACGTCAGTCATACTTTTGACGTCATCGTTTCTATAGAAACAGCACTCGATAACAAATTCGAGTAGAGTAGACGAAAAAAAAAAACGGAAAAAAAAGAAAAAGAAAACTAAATACCTACCGACTATAATAGAGAAGTTCGAAACGGGTTTAATTTCTTTATTTAATTGATCGAAAAATCAATTGTCTGCACCGAAAATGCTTATTTTCGAAGCGAAACCGGTGAAATAAACCAACTTCCGGTTTAAATATATTCCAAGATCGATGTATTGGACTAAATAACCAACTTTCCGGTAAGTATTTTTATGAATATAGAAATAATATCGTAATAGTTAGAATAACCGAGAAAGCGGTAATTTGAATAATGTATGACGTAGAAACATAAAAGATACAAACAGCGCCCCCTGATTAAGTGGTACGGAAGCTTTATATTCGAATATATTTTTGGCTTTATCGCGGGGGTTTGAGATGGCGGCGGATTTATTTTTCGTTGGCGTAACGAATATTATAAATATGAAATCTCTTCCGTACATAACGCCATATATCATAGAGATATCGGGCTTAAATACGGCATACTCTACCCTGCTTAACTTTCAGCAAACATATTTCTTGGGAAGATGGAGAGCGGGGATTATAAGAAGATAAAGGGAGCAACAATAGGATGAATCATTAAATCCACTTAATAGTAGATAATCTAAGGAATTATGCGATTAGATAAATGAACGGTTTAATTATAACCCGTCGTCATTAATAAATTATAAAATTATTACGATTTACGTATCTTGTATTCTTCGTTTAATTCGCCTTTCTATTTACTATTTTTAGAGGAAAAAAAGCTCCTCTATTCTTTTTTAAATCCTTAATCAAGTGTGAATTCTGATAAAGTTAATTATAACTTTCCAACCTCTTCAGTTTACGCTTTGAAAGACATTGATCGCGAGCTACTAGTTGAGAAATTCGAGTAGCGAATTGGATTAAGTGGTTAATTTTAGAAATTTCAATTAAAATTAATAAAAAGATGAATCGATGCGATAAGAAACCTCATTGTTTTTCTAATACATTCGTTTATAATATAAAAATTTGAATTTTATGGAGTGTAAACTCGAATAAAGTAACGAAGATAATTATACAGGATTAGAAGAATCTTAAAATATCTAATTAAAATAAACAACAAACGAAAAAATAAAATAATGGATAATAATGGTTAGAGATTACACGTACGCCATTATTATTAATGTGACTCTATCAATGAGGCATGTAAAAAGAGATTTTCTTTGCAATTCCTGGCGTTGATTGGTTTATTTTTAAACAAGAAATCCTCTTTAAATTTATCAATTAATCTTCTTTTTTTCTTTTCTTGTTGGCGGAGGTAGAATCATTGTCGACGTATAACAGAACAATTTCAATTATTAAAGCGGGCCGAGTTAATTAACTCCTTAAGAACGTGGCCTATTTCTGTTGAATAATCTGGTCACATGGCATGTCAATAATTTAATTACCCGTTCTCTTACATAAATTTCGCGGATATTCTTGTCAGATGACACGGAAGGAGAATTGTCATTTCGTATGTAATGGATCTTTACCAATTTCTCTTTATCTTTATACAGTTATTGGTTAAGATTAATAATGGCTGGTGAATTCTACCCTGTTAGATAATTTCGAATTTATTCTAACGTCAGTTAAGTTGTAAGAGAACATTTGCTATGGAAATTGTTAACAATTCTCTAACGAGTTTCTTTCTTTTTTTTTTTTTACTTCCCCCCTTTAATGCAATGTTTTCTCTTTAATATTCTCATTAAATTCCAATCTGAAGCAATGATTATAGCATATGAATTTATAGTATTTTTAAACGATAATTTCGGCTAAAAAAAAAATAATAATAATAGAAAATGGATGCCAAAAATAAGAACCTATTTTTAAAACGAGAAGAATCAGATTTTTAATGGGAATTTCGTATTTTTATGCTTCAGACAATACCGTTTAATACTTGATATAAATAAAATATGGATGCCTTTGTCGTCGTCGTCGCTTCGGCAAATTTCTCTCTTGCCAGTGATAAATCAGTCGGGTTTTACCTTAGACCTAGCCTTATACTAGTAGAAACTATCGGGACTAGTAAAGTTAACCCCCCTGTTCAGACGATTTTGCAGTAAATCTCGACCAAACGAGTCTCTGAAGTATAATTTTTACTCGAAGCGCTGTACTTATTTTCTATGGTTATTATGCTAAATAATTGGTTTGGTTTCTTTTGGATTCCCTCAAAAATGAAAGAAGATGAAGTGAATCTTGCCCTCAACCAAATAAACTCAATGGTCGTATCTTTATAATGTGAAAAAAAAGGAACGGAAAATAAGAAACCAAAAGAAAGAGAAAATAAAAAAACAATTTTATGAGTAACAAACAGTGGTTTTCGGATGATGTAAGCTCTTCAGAGTTATCTAGAATGATCGATTTTTTCACAAAGAGATCCAATTAAGTCTTTCCTCTAAAGATCAACTGAGACCTTTTACAAACTTGTCACTTGTGAATTCTACATTTTATATTTATTTTTCATTAATCAGCCTGGTAAATACTAGAATATACGTAATTTATGTTCCCTTGTTCCCTTTAAAAAAAAGAAAAAAGAAAAAAAAATCAATTGAATCTCTTGAAATGAAATTTTTTGAATAAAATAACATTTTTTTCCTTTTCTTTTTTTATTCGCTTAAATTATCATTAAACTGTGTTTATTTTTCTTTCTTCTACATTACACTTTATCACTGTAAATGGGAAAACATTATTTATATCGCTTAATGGCGAATATTTATGATGTTTTTTTAATTCAGGAAAAACTTATTACGTCTGGTTTTCTAATTACATAAAACATAAATGGCGCTAAGAGCAAATTTCCTCTCATTTTTCAAAGTCCCCGCGCGAGGCATGTTATTTTTTTAAATTTTACGTTATTATTTATTTTTAAAATTGTTCTTTGACTTAATTACAGTTGATTTATTCAAATACATATATATATATATTTAAACTAATGCAATAAAGTAGAAAAAATTCAATTATAAACAGTACTAATAATAGTTCTAAGTACTGCTAACGATGGCGCTGCTGTTGCAGCGATCCCATTCGTTTAATTACGATTTTTTTTAAACGAAAATTAAATTTTAATATTTAAAAAAAAAAATTAAAATTAAAAACAAAAACTTCGTGTAAATTTCTTAAAGCAAATATTTGACTTTTACTTTAAAAGTTTATAATTAAAGAAAAATACTTTTCTGATAAACTAAAAGATGGCGCTAATATTTGCAAAATTAATCACGTGTCGTTATAATCACGCTTTATAAGTCTCGAACAAAATGGCGGCTCTTCGTACGAGTATAAACGCTAATAGAGAAGTTAATATTCTAGCAAATTATTATTTATTTATTGTAATTAAAATAAAAACATTTATTATTAATAAAAAATGAAGTAAAGGTGTTATATTTAATTAAGGAATATTGAATAAGCTTGATAAGATACGACGATGCAACACGTGGTCGATTTGCCATGGAGGGTGCCTCTATGGGAAACTGGGCGATATTTAGGTGTTAGACATGAAGAAAACCGGGAAAACTTCACGGGAGTGGTGAGGCACGAACCCGTGACTATCAGTGTTCAGTGGTTTTATCCTCTTAGCCACTGACGGACTCACGTAAAATGAAGAAAAATTATATACCGAATATCCCTAAAGACATAATTTATAATGTTATTTATTATATATACTTTCATATCAAGAAAAATTTTATATAAATAAGTATAAACGCATATATAAATTGTACAGTTAATTAATTAATTAATTAACTAATTGACTCACTTGAAAGTATAATTTATAAAATTAGAATAAAATCGAAATAACTTTATTACATAAATAAGTAATTATTCAATAATATATATATATATATAGTTCAATATTTTCTATTGAAGTTTTCTATATTTTAGTACAGGAAAAACACCAAAATATGATA